TGTGTATGACTAGTGTCTTTCACTTAGTGTAATGTTTTTAACGTTCATCCATGTTGCGACTTATATCAGCACTTCATTTCTTTTAATTGCTGAATAACATTCCATCCTATGTATATACCACATTTTATTTATCCACTCATTTGGGTGGTTTCGACTTTTTGCCTATAATGATTTTTAAAAAAACTTTTTTTTTTTAAATTTTTAAAGGAAGAAAAGAAATCCTTGACTAGGGTCTTTATCTAGAGATTTTATAGATTACAAAATGATGTTTTGAGGACTGAATTAAACTCTCTTGTGAGAACTATATGGCACTTATTCCACATAATTAAATATCATAAAGAGTAAAATATATATAGTAGGGCTTGATTCTATAGTTTCCCGCTGATACGAAAAAGATAACCCTTCACCATGGTGGCCAAGGACAGAGGCCTGCCCACCTTAGACCCTCCTGTTCCCACCCTGCTCTTCTCAGCCATTTCTGTAAGCAGTTTCTCCAGCTGAACACTATGGGTTTTTCTGTTTTTTTTGTTTTTTGTTTTTTTGCAGTACGTGGGCCTCTCACTGCTGTGGCCTCTCCTGTTGCGGAGCACAGGCTCCGACACGCAGGCTCAGCGGCCATGGCTCACGGGCCCAGCCGCTCCGCGACACGTGGGATCCTCCCGGACCGGGGCACAAACCCGTGTCCCCTGCATCGGCAGGCAGACCCTCAACCACTGCGCCACCAGGGAAGCCCTGAACACTGTGTTTTAATCAACTGATTTTTGTGACCTCTTTTCATTGCCCTCAATATACTCTGCATAAATGGCTGCCTACTTCTTCGTTGACTTTTAAGCTCCATGGAGCTGACCCTTTTAGGACTCAACATTCTACATCCCCTTTGGCAGCTGCATCTCCCCTTCTGCCCTAGCAGAAGGAATGCCAAGCACCCCACAGAAAATGATGGATTTTGTTATGATTTCCACAAGCTTCCTAGAGAAAAGAGATCTCTCCACTTCTTTCCATGGTCTGCAGTTAGAACTTGCACACTAAATTACTTCTGGTCTTCATGCTATGCCCCACTATCTCATGCCTCCAGATTGTCACACGCACCCAGTCTCTGCAGTAACACTTGTCCTGCCTCTCCTTGTCTTCAGATTTTGGCTTAACTATCACTAAGACCAAATCCTCACTCAACAGTCCTCCACCTCAAGTCCAGATCAGGGGCTCTCATTGACTGGTGGGAATGCCAATGAATCTCCTAGAGTAAATGGGTACATTAATTCCTTCCCAATCAAAAATATATGGTTATATATATATATATATATATATATATATATATATATATATGGAAAGATTATTTTCCCCTAAAGATTGTTTCATGCTGTTTCTCAAAGACCTTTAGGTCCTGGGACAGAGGCTTCTGTAAATAAGCAATCTTGCAACTCATTGTGTGTCCCATGCACTTCCCCAGTAAAAATGTCAATGCCTAAAATCAATGGCCCAATGATATTTTCAAATTTGCATTTTTGTCACTTATTTGGAACCACAACAGAAACAAAACTTCAGCAACCAACAGTGAAATTAATTGGGTATGAAAGACAATCTCTAGGACATTTCCTTTCTAGGTATTTGCTCCTGTGTTAAGAACGATTAAAATCCAAACTATGGCTACACCAAAAACTTGGGAACATTTTAGAAAGTGATTAAGCTCAATCAAAGATATTTGGAATTAACTAAAAATAATTATGAGTGAGATTAAATGTATTCTCTATTATCCCACTGGAGACATATTTTCCTCTGGGACAGTCTTAGAAACATCACTGCATTTGTTTTATTTTAACACCTCCTTAACATTTAAAAAATGTATATTTCAAACAAAAAGCTGAAGTATATTAAGGACTCATTTTACTAATTAACCAATCTCTATTTAAAAGGGATTTTTAATATTAAAAAATTAAGTGTTTACAAAAATCCTCTAACAATATGTTGGAGTATTAAAACCCAGAAAAGGAATACTCGAGGAATGGTGTCCCCTCCAGGATGGAGTATGGAGTGAATAGGGGGCAGCTCCAAGGGAACCAGATTCATGAAGCCTCCCCTTCTCTGCAGGTGGAGTAAGTTAATCCTTCCTCAGAACCCTGGACTCATACATCACAAGGCACATATCATAGTCTGCTTATCTTTAATGTATAAAGTCAGTGACTTCACAATGCATTGATATAAGCAACATGAAAAGAGGAGAGAGCCTTACTGTTTGAATCCCCAACATCTAGAACAGTCCCTAGGATATAGCAAGGGCTTAATAAATGTTCACTGAATGAAAAAAATAAAACAGAAAAGGATCATGATTACATATTTTGAAATAATTCTTTCCATGCCTGAATTTATTCAACCTTAATTGAGGGCTGTCTTATGTCACATACTGTATTCAATACCCGAGGAAAGAGAAATGAATAAACTTTACTCACGTCCTGAAGAAGCTCACCATCTATTGGACAGGTGGACAAATGTAACTCATTGCAATCAAAAGTTTGGGAAGTGATGCCAAAGTATGCATGGGGGCCTGTGGAAGCGCATGGCAGAGATACTAACCTAGAAACAGATTGTTTTTCTTTGAGACAATGAAAGTTGCCCCCTTACATTAAGTAAAAAGAGGTAGGTAGGTATTATATGTGAATTCAGTGTTTCATCTGAAAATAGTAGGGAAAAATAAACAGATAAAATTCAACCTTTAAGTTCAGAAATTAAGCAGCAATAAGTATGTTGAAATTATACTTAGAAGAGATTAAATGTTTTTGGCAACCATGTGGGAGTAACACGGAAGAAATATCATTAATGAAAATGCAAAAGACTTTCACAGGGAGAGCAAAGTATAAAGGAAAGAGTATGGGCTTTGGCTTAAGCAGACTTAGTGCGAATCATGGCTGTCACTTACTAGCCATGTGTCTTTAGACAAATCACATATATTCTTTAAACCTCAATTTCTTCATAGGCAAAAGAGAACCAATACTAGCTTACACACAGAGTTATTAAAAGCATTAAATAAGATTATGTTTATATATCTTTATGATGGGCCATTATAAAGACTCAAATGTGATGCTAGCAATCCAATTGTAAATCAAACCAGGGGCTCAAATATAAGATGCTTAGTCCTTGGCAAGGAGTGAGAGGATGTTGGTAAGTGTGAATCAGTGACCTGATATCAGAGAACCTGGAGTACAAGGCAGTGGAAACAGGCAGGGATGTGAGTGATGATGATGATGATGAAGATGATAATTACTATGGCTCCTTCCAAAGCTCAGAGTATTTATCACTGAATTAAGCCTTTAGACTCCTAGGATCAATTAAAGTATTTACTCATAATCTTGAAAGTCAGCTTTGAAAAAGCAGGCTTCCATTAACCTCTTGTCTGAATAGATCCTCTTTATCTCTGAAAGAAGTCAAGAATCTCTGAAATGTTTTACTTGGTATTAGATGAACCAATGTGAAAATCATATCTTCCCACTGAACAACTTCCCTAACCCAGTAAGCCAAATATAAAATGTAATTATCCTACACGTGGTGAGTCAGAAGGACAGTGAACAGTGGTCACTCAGGGAACGGTGAGTGAGGTAGAGCTGGAGGGCATGGGGCACATTCTTAGAGGGTAGGAAGGACTTCAAGAAAGTGATCAAATGGCCCTGGAAGCAGAGCAAACACAGTAGCTTGAGAGTAGGTGGATAGATAGCTCATAGGTGCCATTGCAAAGAAGTTGTAGGAGTTGTTCAAAAAAAGATAGTAGTGGTTCAAAAAACGATAAAGGCTATGTGTGTCCCTAAGTGAGAAGTCTTACAGCAAATGATATGAGCCACGGAAGAAGGCAGTTACTATAGAATAACAGCAAGAGGGTAGCATTACCCCCACGATGTGGGATTCATGGGGAGTTCCTGGGGTGGACAAGATATGGTTAAGGGTAGCACAGAGCCCCAGTATCAGAAGGAGTGCTATGAGGGGAACGGAAGGTATTCTAACACAGGAGAGCAAGATGGATTCTATTATCAGGATTAAGTACAAGGAGCTGAATTTATAGTAGATACTAATGACAGAGTGGGTATCTAGCTGTGGAATCCTTATTTCTACATTAAAGAACTTTTAAAAGCCCTGTGTAAAAACAGGATCTCTCTCAATGCCAGAACAAGATAGAGGCTGGTGGAGAGGCTTTAGGAAGACAGCTGAGAGCTTGGGAAGGGTGAAAGAGGAAGTATCAGTTCCTTCTATTTGCCGTAGTTTTCAAGTTCAGAACATCTAGAAAGTCTGGGCTGAGGAAGCTGAAATTTGTCAAACTCTGTAAGAGACTATAGATAACTGAAAACTTATTTTAAAGTATGTAAAGTGTTGCTGTTGAAGGAAAGGTGAGTAAAGATGGAATTAGACCCTAGGTGTTCTAGTGTTTACCGCAGACACTTTTGGTGCCCTGGGTCACATTCTCTTAGACAGACTGTGGTTTCACCCATGATTTCATGGCTATTGTGGATGGTTCCTGCTTGCTGAGAACACTGCACTACAGGTATCCAATGTCCCCTGATTGTCTCTCCTCTTCTCCGCCTCAAGGTTCTGTCTAAAGCCCCTAGGAGTTTCCAGGTAGGTAAAACTTGGAAGTACCGTGCATTTAAAGCCCCTAAGGCACCTCCTAACAAAGGGGAGATGGCAGCCAGTAGATAAATGCCTCAGCTTCCCTGTCTCTGGACAGATGATCCCGAAATGCATTACTTGATCCACAGTTGCCCACAGTGGGAGTTGTCTCAAAAACACACCCTATTTTGGCTTTTCCTCCTCTCTCACACTCTCTTCTATGCCTTTAATCCTGCTTCCTGGGTTCATCTCCCAAATACTGTAAACTGCCTGCACTTAAGTTCCTTGTCTCAGACTACATCTTGGGAACTAAACGCTGGAGGAGGGCAGAGACGGAGTCGTTTTATTTTCATGTTTTGGTTCTGTTTTGTTTTAATTTGTGTTTGCTTTGCATTTCTGTTTCTCCATAGGTCACCAAGATGCTGGCAGTGGTTGTCATTCTGTTTGCCCTTTTATGGATGCCCTACAGAACCCTTGTGGTTGTCAACTCATTTCTCTCCAGCCCTTTCCAAGAAAATTGGTTCTTGCTCTTTTGCAGAATTTGCATTTATCTCAACAGTGCCATCAACCCAGTGATTTACAATCTCATGTCCCAGAAATTCCGTGCAGCCTTCAGAAAGCTCTGCAACTGTAAGCAGAAGCCAGTGGAGAAACCGGCTAACTACAGTGTGGCCCTCAATTACAGCGTCATCAAGGAGTCAGATCATTTCAGCACAGAGCTTGATGACATCACTGTCACTGACACTTACTTGTCTGCCACGAAAGTGTCTTTTGATGACACCTGCTTGGCTTCTGAAATAACCATTAGCCAAAGTTAATTCATGAAGTAGAAGAAAATGGATGATAAAGAAAATGAGAATCTGTGCAGTTATCAACCCAAGAGAGGAAACAGCCAATACTGGTATGTGACGACAGAGCAGATAAAGTCCTCGCCAGTGCTCTAACACTACTGCCCCAAGACACTTTAACCCACTAGAATGATTCACAGCTTCCTTCTCGTATCAAGAAAATGTATATCATAGAAAAACTGAGCAGATCTGTGAAAGACCCAAATGGTGGAAATTTTCCATTTAATTTGAGACTGTATTTTCTGGGGCTGTGAAGTTTAGATAAAATCTAGACATCAGTTTACCTTATTCAAAATAACTTTATAAAATGTATTTTCTCACCCCTCCCAAATTATTTATACATGTGGTAATTTGGCAACATGAAAATGTTTAATGTTTTCATTTAGCATTTCATTTTAATAAAGTACAGTGCTATTTTCATGAATATTTGAAACTACAGGGAAAAATAGAAAAAAATTTGAGGAGTAAAAATGAGATTTCAGACAAATATATTCACCATATGAAAAAAAAGTCATAATGCTTATAAAATTCTGAGTTGATTTTTTTTTTTTTTTTTTTTTTTGCGGTACGCGGGCCTCTCACTGTTGTGGCCTCTCCCGTTGCGGAGCACAGGCTCCGGACGCGCAGGCTCAGCGGCCATGGCTCACGGGCCCAGCCGCTCCGCGGCATGTGGGATCCTCCCGGACCGGGGCACGAACCCGCGTCCCCTGCATTGGCAGGCGGACTCTCAACCACTGCACCACCAGAGAAGCCCTGAGTTGATTTTTATATCTTACGAAGTGTAGCTGGTGAGTCACCATTCAACTTTAATGTAAATAGCCAAACCCCAAAATAGCCAAAATTACTAATTGAGAAGACATGTAGATTTGATATTTAGTTAAATCCAGCTCTGTACTCTGCAAGGCATCTAAATGATGGGTGAGACAGGAGAAATATCAAGATTAAATAACTGTGAAGATACATACTAACATATAATTAATATTGAAAAGTAGCCAAGACAGGACCAAGTATTCAAAATAAGGTTTTACTTCTTCCTCTAAGACTTTTAAGGAAGAAAATCCTATTTGAGCATTTGAGAAGAAAATCCTATAAACTACTGAGCCATGTCAAGCAAATCCTTCTAGCTGAATCTAGCTAAAAGTCTGAAACATTCTCCAAAGCTTAGTTGCTATTCTAAGTCAGCCAAAGGCTGACTATTACACTTCCAGCTGAAGACTCCCCACTGAGCATTGTAGTCTATGGATTTCAACTTGTCTGCAAGTGTCTTTCCTTCCTGCCTGCTTGTCATTTGTAGGTTCTCTCTTTTTTTTTTTTTAAATGCTTGTGACATTTTGTTTACAGATTCGAAATCAAAGCAATGCAAAATTTTGTTGGCTTTATTTCCAGTAGAGCTAAAACTAATTTCATCTCATTATTATTATCTCTTTATAGTTATGATTAAGGCCTGCTCTTCTATTGCAGTGATTATTAGAGAGTTGTGAATGTGAATCTGTCAGCTCCTACTTTAATCCCTTTCAATTGACTCACCTACTAAGATTTGGCCAAGTGTAAAAATCGTCCTTGGTGTTTGTTCAGTAATAACTGACTTTTTTTTTTTTTTTTTTTTTCGGT